CACATCTGCCCCACGCTCGAGGAGAAGTCCCACAACCGATTCATTTCCTCTTGCTGCAGCTGCTTGGAGTGCATTGCCATAATGGCCACCTTGAGCATTCACATTGGCCCCACGCTCGAGGAGCAGTCCCACAACTGATTGATTTCTGTTTGATGCAGCTGCCACTAGTGCATTGCCATATTCGCCACCCTGAGCATCCACGTCTGCCCCACGCTCGAGGAGAAGTCCTACAACTGTTTCATTTCCTTTTGCTGCAGCTGCCTGTAGTGCATTGCCGTATTTACCACCCGGAACATTCACATTTACCCTATCCTCCGTTCTGTTGACTAGTAATTTACAGGCTGTCGCAAGACCTAACAAGGAGCAATAGTAGATTGCTGGTGGGTAAGACCAGGAATCCTCGGGTTCACCCCGCCAGGGATCGTCGGGGTCATATATGTCTAGCCAGGCTTGGCCAAGTTCGAGCACCTTTACCGCAGCCTCGGAGAGCGGAGTGGGCGCCATATACTCGATTGGTCTAAAGTACGTGAACCAATGGCGCGCACTGTGGTAGAGAAACGACATTCGTTCGGCTTTGTTATGGCGTATAGTACCTTCTCCTCTATGCCGTAGTATTCGACTAAGGCAAGCGTGCCCCATCCGTAAATTGGCTTCATCTTCCGAGATATGATAGTAAGCACTGGAGGCCTGAGCCGCCCGTTCGGAGATCAAATATTCCTTTACCGAGAAATGTGCTAGTCGTAATCGCTGGCTTTCCTGGGTGGAAGATTGATTGCCCCTAGCATCTCCATAGGAAATAAGGCTAGGACAAATGCTTATGAGGGACTCTATGTCAAAAAGATTTTCCGAATCCTCGCCATACCTGTTGACATCGTATTGTATCACAATGGCCTCGGCGAGCTGGCCTAATGTCAATGGTACCGTCGAAAACGCTAGCCAATTCATCGCTCGCCCAACATATTCCTTCAGCTTCTCAGGAATGGTGTCGAGGATCCTCTCGTAGATAGAGTCTAAGTCCTTCGGGAGTTCCCGCAATGCATCCCGCACAGATTTTGGCGTTATGCAATCTTCCAGAATTCGTAGGAGACAATCTACCCATCGGAACCTGCAAACACACGTCGCACGATTAGCATAAGTAGGGATTCGATGATTGGGTATAACCCACATTCCCTGTGAACCCGAAACAAGCTTTTCCTCTATCTCACTCTTGATTTCTGGGGTAAATTTCCGGAAATCATCCTTCATGGCTAGAGAGTTCCGTATATATGCGAGGATATCAGGATCGATCGTGCTGGATTGTAACGATATTGCAAAAGGGTCGAGTCGCTCCAGTGACCCTACTATATCGCCCTCGGGGCGACTAGTGACAAGAATTGAAAGTGATCCCTCATTATGATCTGCCCTGAGCTCGCCAATCCAAGATAGGAGGCTCCCGCGTATGGCCTTCGGGAACTCGTCCAAGGCATCTAAAATGACAAATGTCTTCTTGAAACCCTTTATAATCCGCGACAATACGTCTTTCAGAGCCTTGGTACCCGGCGACTTTCGAATTGCACCGGTGCTGTTGTACAGATCTACAACCTCAGCCGGCAAGCCCAGCTCCGAAGGCCTTTTTGGAAGTTGGCCAATGATGGATAGAAGCATATTCTCCAAATTTTGCTTCTCCGAGTCACTAAAGGTAAAGTAGAAATATGCTAATGCGTGATCGTCGTTCGAGTTGCACAGATTTTCAACATCTTCAATAGCAGTAGCGCTAAAGACAGAGTTAGCAATAAGGAAATCATATTGTACCTTCGGATACCCGGTTGAGTTCGTACCTCAGCACACTTTTGCCGCATCCGGCTACAAGAGACAGATATTAATGACATTCATTGAAGCATTAGATTTCATCCGTCGGTAAACTTACGTATACCGTGAAGCCAGAGAACCCCTCCTCTGCCTGCCTTCCAATCCATATACTCGCGTCCCCGGAGAAGCCAATTACCCGTACCAGGTTCACGAAGCGCCAGTGCAGTTGAATAATTGGAGCTTGGGTCAACGACGTTAAGCCATTTCTGTATTTCCTGGAGTTTATTTTCTGGGGTTTTAGGAACACGCGATATTAGTCAAGAAAATGGTTGGTAGGGTTAGGAATATTGTAACCAAGTACCATCTAGTGTTCGCGACATCTTTGTTACCGTGGCCCTGAACAACTTGTTAGCCTTGCCACCGGAAGAAAAAAAAGCAGGGGAGAAATTAGATTCTTCCGTTACGGAGCAATGGAGAACCTACGTTATGTCCGTAGTTAGCAACAGCTGAAGTTTTGATCTCTGCTCTTCCATCAAGCCCAGGTAGCGTTCCAGTTTGGGCTTATGAAGAGGCCAAAGATACTTTCTCGACGATTTCCTCCATCCCTCAACATCTAACTTTTTTTCTAGCTTCTCGAGGGCTGTGACATAACCCCTCAAACTTTCGTTTTTGGTCCATGCAAGAAGTTTAGGGTATCGTGGGTTGTTCTCATCGCCTTGTGTAGCAAGGCTTTGTATTTCCTTCAGCTGCTCGTCAATACTCTTAATCTCATCCGCTAGTCTCTTGAAATCGTGTTCACTCTCCTTGACTGCATCGTGGTATTCATCGCAAAGCTGATAAACCTTCGCGCTGAGGTGAAAGAGGGCCAAGCCACTAGCAGCAAGCGAGAACGGTTCCGCCATTTCTTTTCTCCCGAATCCTGTGGGTATAAGAGGCGGAGTGTAAGTTGCTATAAGAGCTCGCTATCTTTGAATAGTGAAAGATGAATCAGAGCCGGGTTTCGTTTTCGGGGTGGGTCCTGGCAGCCTGGGGAGCTACTGTGGATTCGGGGATGAGGTGGGATGCACCAACTACTCGTAGAGGGTATCTTTCCGGAGCAAGGTCCTTCTTAAGAGCTCCAAGAGCGGGACTCCGAATGCCTATCGCCTACTCGAGTACACTGGCGCATAAGAAGGGCAGCTGTATGCCCAGGTGCCGCCTACGCAACTGCAAGCCAAGTATGATATTGCTCAAATATATCAGCACCGGTGCTACCGTTTTGAGCAATAATCAAGTTTCTTTCCCCGCATGGGCTTTAATGCCAGTAGGTATGCAGAACATTACAGTCTAAATAGGTGGACGGAAGGTGTACCCGAGTACCTGTGCTCGACAGTGCTGGGGCTGCCATACTGTAAAGTTCAAATGACCCAAATCCACTACCGGTATCTCGGGTATGTGGGTCATGCCGGACAAAATTCAATGGGCCAATCTGCCCGTCAGATTTACTGGCCTACTACCCGGGGGAAATTCTGCTGTCGTTGCTTACAGCAGAGCCTGTTCTCTTACAAAGACCTTTTATTTCCCTATTGCAGTAGAGGTTTTTGTGGCAGTTTAATGAGATGCTACCTGTTCTGTCGTGACGTTTGTAAAATGGACTGGGCTTGTATGGCGGCCCACAGGGGTGTGTTATGGCCATGTTTAATCTGAATAGGTATAGTGCAAGCCCAGTCCATTTTACAAACGTCTCGACAGGACAGGTACATTGTGAGACATTCAGCCCCAGTCCCGAAAAGGCGGCGCGCATTCTCCCCGCAGCCCCAGGCTCTGCCCTGTACAACAGATTGGTTGGCAACCCTCCTTGAGTACCGGTATGCCGTCCACTGATTTGCTAGATGCCCTGGTGCACACCCTCCCCCCACATCGGCCGGCTGTGTCCCTTCATGCTGTGCAGTGAAAAGACATATGATAATTTACGCCTAGGTCTGGAGACAAGTCTTGGTATGAAAGGGGGCTAGTGATAAAAATCAACAAAGGCCCTGGGGCTCACATTTATGAACCCCCCTTCGAAGGTCTGAAGGGGTTTAGACAATCCATTAAAATATGCTACAATAGATTAAACCCTACTGCAATATTATACAGGCAAAATGAGAGAGTTAAAGAGAAAAACAACTAATTCAGAATATATTCTTCCAGTGCCCTCAACACTTTTGTCCACATGCCTTCATCAAAAAATATCACCTTCAAAAAACTAGTACAGTGCGGGAAAAAGCTCTTGTTCCTCTTGAATGTTATTTCTGACTTCAGCAGGTTTACATGTTAAATTCAGTCCAGCTGCGGAGAAAGGCTCTGGAGTTGTGCAGAAAAAAGCAAAAATCAACAAAAAAGTCAGCCTTGGCGAACCCTCCCCTTCCGAGATCATTTGGTAAACCCCCCCTTGAACACTAGAATCCGCCAAAGCCTTCGTCGCAACACCGCCGGCGACCAATCCCATACCGTAGCCGGAGGGCGGACACCCCACATCCAGACGCAATTAGGCCACGCTTCCTTTCCATCTCGGTTGGGCCCAACTTCTCTCTTCCGCTTCCTCCGCCACGGGTATGCCACGCGGTCGTCGTTCCTTCATATTGTATTTTTCCGTCTTCCATCCTCCCGTATATCGCGAGGTCACGGACAAATCTTTCACACAGGGCCCAGCTGGGTCGCGCACGCAATTCACTCCCGGAAGTCAACCGAAACACTTCCACACTGGTATTCTCCAAGCACCAGTAACTTACTGAAATCCCTCCCCCGGATACCTTACGGTGCTGTCGCCGGGTTCCCGGCTGTTAAGCGACCAATGAACCTTGTACGTCTGCAGAGCCTCTCACCTTTCCCATCTCGAGGCCCAGAGCCGGATTGTAGAAATATCTCCAAGCGTAGCGCGCTTGTTCGATCGCCCGATTTTCCAAATGAAAAACAGCGGACGGCCACTCCCCCTGTACTGTCAGCATCCTTCGACTTATCCAAATCCCCTCTTTCCTCTGCTAAAACCCGAAGTTAGGGGTTTGGGTTGGCTCTCTAACTAAGAGAGAAAAAATCCCGTGAAAAACCTCCAGCGAGAACCTCCGGGAAGGGTATAACAACACCTATGATACCCCGACCCGCGCCCTGTCATTCCACACATTATCCTACCATAGGTCCATGCATGTCGGAAAATATCAAATAGCTATTATCATATCATGCCACCATACTTCTACCGCTTTTAGATTAACTATGATGCAGTTGCGGGTGCCAGAGCTGTTGATACCGGTTTCAGTCCTGACCTTGTCTATCGCGTAGGGCCCCCGATACACATTTGGTCACCGTCTCTTTCCTTCATATCCGGCGCGAGACTCCCCCACCACCGCAATTTGCTTTCCATCGTTCACATTAGGATCAGACCTCTGGTACCGCATTCTGCCACCAGCCACTCGATATTCTTACTCGGCTTTCCAGACTTCTCCGCAAGTTCGCAGTGTGCAGACGTTAATATCGGTGGCCGACTGTACTCGTACATTGCGTGCTATGCCCCCTGGAGAATATGTGCTCGGCCCCAGAGGTATGGAGTATGTCCCGCAACTACCTTACGGTACCGTAAAAACTCAAATAGAAGAAACACACGCTAAGGGGTTGAATTAAACTCAACTTCTAAAAAAAGGGACAATGGTGTAAGCCAAAAAGTCATGACTGGTTTAAGACATATGCTTTGACCTTCAAATTCAACCTCAAGTCACCGCTTCAGAGTCATGATAGTGTAAGTAGATAACTTGAATACGAATATGATTAATAAAAATCATAAGAGTCATAAAAAAATAAAAATAAATAAAAATATAAACAATGAAGGTACTGTACTACTTCTACATGATGATAAAATACAAGCGGTATACTTTTCATATCAACTACTTATCAAATACAATAATACAGCAAATGGCACGACAAAGCCAGCGAAGTAAAGGTACTGCCCGCTCCAAGGTTAACATAGTGCTTCCAGAACTTGCCCCTGGCCGATTCTACACCCAGCCACGACAAAAGCGAGGACCTAAAAGGCAACTAGTTAGCAATAAACCTCGAACAGCTCCCGGCAAGGTACAGAAACCCCGCAAGTCCTATACTATAAACTACAAGCTGCGGGTAGTTTCCTGGCTGCAAACAGCATCTATTCCATGTGGGCCGAGCAAGTTTCGGACACCGACAATGAGGGAAGCGGCTGAACGGTTTAAGATTCCATTTGGGAATCTTGCACGATGGCAAAAGGAGGAAAAGGCTGGTCAGTATCTGGAGGTGTCAGCAAGTGCCCGTAGACTAGAAGGTGGAGGAAGAAGAAGAAAATGGGTAGAGATGGAGCGGAAATTGTATGAGGAATTCCGTCAACCTCGAGCGGAAGGAAAAGTTGTACGACAGAGTTGGTTTCGCCAGAATGCGAAACGCTTATTTATTGAAACCTATTCAGATTCAATAGTTAGTCAATTTCGCTTTTCGAACGGATGGTTTCGGGGTTTCTTATCTTGGCACAAGATCACTCTGCGTGCAATCACGAATAAGGCTAGTCAACTGCCTATAGATTATGTTGAAGCGTTAGTAAATTGGATGAGGTTTAATCGAAGAAACTCACAATTATGCCTAGGGAGTACCTCTGTCCCTCCCGATATCCCAGTGGAGGTTGGTCGTTACAGATTAAGTAACATCTGTAATATGGACCAAACTCCACTGCCCTTCGAATACCTTAGCGGTCGAACCTATAATCAGCAGGGAGAGAAGACGATTTGGGTGCAGGCAAGTCAGCAATCAGGTTGGGAGAAACGGCAGGCCACGATTCAACTTACTATTTTTGCTGATGCTATCCCCCGTGTTAAACCGCTCATATTTTTCCGAGGACTCGGGGTAGGAGCTACAATTTTAGCTGAAAAGCTAAAATATGACCCCCGGGTTGTAGTGAAGTTCAACCCAAAAGCATATGCCAATTCAACAAATATTGTTGAATGGCTTGACGAGCAGGTTATACCGGTACTCGGTGGTCATCCTACTCTTATGGCCCTCGATATGTTTGGTGGCTACAAAACAGATGATGTTTTGGACACTATGCGGGCCCACGATATCACATTAAGTGTGATACCCGGGGGCTGTACCAGCATGGTTCAGCCCCTTGATATATCGATCAATCGACCCTTTAAGGACATTTTGAAGGTTAGTATCACTAAAACTCTTATTAAAAATTAAAAAGGAAGGAGGTACTTATCGATCTTGGGCTTATAACTAACTCTCCTTTGAT